ATACATTCATATTACAGTATTATATGCGTTGCTACCCACTTTTGTCAATTTCTAGGTCCCAAATGTTAGCGATTTAGCTCCTTTAAGTTAAGAATTTACTCAAAATTGCTTACCTTATTTAAACTAAAATATAGCCCTTTATAAAACTTTTATTGTTTTAATATATCAAATACACGAATTAGAAACTATGTGCAAAGTTTTGTGTTTCTGGATCAAAGACATTTCTCATCAACAGTGCTTGTAAGTTGAGTAAATTCTTAAGCCTGAGAATGCCTTGTGAATTCAGGGCCGGGTCTAATCGTTGTAACGGGGAAAACTGGGTCCCTTGTACACATTGGCGCGCACATAACATAACCATTGTCCCATCATAATTTCCCTGCATGATGTATGCTCTTCTTCATTGGCTCGGTTTATGCAGAAAAATATGACGTTAAACAACAATTTTTGAAATACTCCCAAACGGAACTATGGTCGTATTTTGACTTGCATTTATACACAGAAGTTTTATATCCTATTGATTTTCAATTATTATGGACCTTGATCGTGTTGAAACATCTTGTGGACGCTGTAGAAGCCTACGTGATCATCCAAATGGCTTACATTTATACACATTATATACGATCATGCGATGAAGTCTAATGATTTCCAATGATTTCTGTATTATTGGTCTAACTCACTTTGATAAGACTTGGGGACACCTTAGATATCACAGTTATCCGATTGTAAATTCATACACAGTGCGCCATTCTTGAGAACAGCTAAATTCATCATCATATTACAAGATTTGTATAATAGTGGTTGGCTTCGAGAAGTACTAGAAGCAAGTAAAATATTAATGAATTTTGACAATTACTTACTATTAAATCAGTTCTTAGTGTTTTCTAAACGCTTCCATTACCAACAACAGAATAAATATGCATGATAATCTTTGTGGACTTAGCTGACATGGGTTATGTTTCTTTGCCTGGTAACCTATTGTTCAAACTATATTCGAAGACATCAAATATATGGTTCTAATCCATTCTTTACACGCAAAACCTAAATAAAAAATTTCAATTGCATAACACATGAACATTCTCCAAGTATACGTATGGACATTGTTTTCGACTTGGCTGTCAACTAGTTTCGTGTCTGTTATCAGGGTAAGTATCGTAATCGAATTCATGTAAAGCGATATATGAGATATCGCTCATTAGAATATCACACAATGCATTGTTTATACATGCAAAAAATATCGACAGTAGGAACTGAATTTACACCAGCGTCGGCGCTTTTCTGAAGCACAGTGTGCGCGAAAACAACTAAGACCGGGTTGATCAATTCTTCGCCGATAGTATGTGGGTTTCCTTTCTTTGCTACCAATAATGATATTATGTAACTGGCCTCGACACCACGGTCCAGATTTGCCGGTTGTTTCCTAAACAAGAATTCGAAGCGTTTCGGCCCTTCTGTTTCACGTTCAACCCATTGAAGTACCGAACGTATGTATCGGCATAGTCACTGTATTTAATTTCATGTCAACTTCACAATAGTATAAATATGGCATTTACTTGACAATTATCACAATTTTCATCTGGCCCTAAATCGAGTTATTGCAAACATTTTGCTTGGATTTCTGTTTTCTGGATTTGTGTTCCTGGTTTTATAAGCTTTCCAAAAATGTATCGTTTGTTTTGTAGGGAGGACCTTGTAGCGGAATTTTGCCATAGACCCGCATACCGACGCCCGATAAAATCTACCATAAAAAGCCAACTGGAGTTCGTAGGAAATTTCCAGGTCAAATTCACGATAGGGAGGAGATTGATTCTAGCTCACACAGGCGTGATAATCGGCGCACCCAGAAGCCCCCCCCCCCCCCAACATTTTTGGGCTAGCTACGGGTATGATATCTGTTACCAGATGGCGATGAGATCAATTCCAGCTCGCACCAGGCGTGATATTCTTCAAAATCCAAACGAACTCTAATCCGTTTCCAATCTCTTCGTTTTTCTCATAAATTATTATAGGTACGCAAAAGTCGTATACCTTCCTTCAGATTTTTATAATGTTCATATCAAAATATCATAATACGCCAATATCGCAAATTCAGCCTCAAAATTGAAATTTCCCGTCATTTTCATAGTTCCTGTCCTCGGGTACAAACCCTATTTTTCCTCAAAAAAATGTTGGGGAAGGGGTGGGGGGAGAGCACCCTAGACCCGCATACCAACGCTCGAAAAAATCTACCATAAGAAAGTCAACTGGAGATCGTAGGAAATTTTCCAGAAGCCCCCCCCCCCCCCAACATTTTTGGGCTGGCTACGGGCCTGATATCTGTTATCTTACCACACGGCGAACAATACGATTTACCCAATAGGAATTAAATACTACCAAATATTACCTCATTTTTTTTAGATACTATCACAGTTCTTGAATTAAGTTGATTATATCGCAACTATTATTCATGATTATCATACACATTTTACATGCGTGAATCGTGAAATAAATTAATTAATCTTAAGATACGTGCTATATGTGGTTTGTGGCTAATTTAGGGATATCCAAATCCCCAGCTGAATGTTGTGACCCGAATTAATCCATGTTATTTCAATAGCATTATATAAAGGCGGTCTCAAAATTCAGTGTATGCGTATAGTCGAAACTAGATCAGGTAATAGTATGGCCGTATGATGTAGCTAGTTCGAAGGAATTATTAGTGAGCAGAAATTCGCCCGGGTATCTGTTATCACTCGTCACTTCAGTCTGTTATATAGAAGGATAACTCGTGTTTTCCTTTTGCGTTCGTCACTTCCTTTTGTTGAAACCTTCATTACACATTTATCGTAGCAATTACCCCTGTGTTAAAATTATATTTGAAACGTGTTTAACGAGTTCTTTCACATGAACGATAATGATTGACACCAACATGTCCTTTACTATCGTTTGCAACCGACAGTATCTCAACTATGCGTTCTTGCATGTAATTAGCATAATCTTTATCCACTTTTGGACATTCTACAAGATTTGTAGTTGATTTTCAAATTATTAGAAAGGTTCATTCGATCAAGCAGTTCAAATTTATAAAGATTGATTACAAGGTGACACCGAAGAACAAAATTTATATTTAAACCCACGTTATCGTCTGGTGTACTTTCCCTACTAATCAATGCTTGTGAATGCGCTACACGACGGTCTTTTTAAGTATGACAGAATGTAATATAATAATATATTAAATTGTACTGGACAGCTGGATGTTCAAATATTTTCCTTTGAAAACCACGTATATCTCTATCAATTACAAGTGGAGATTTAAGCATTGTAAGCAGTGAGGATTGGGATGGGAAAAAAGCGGTGTGCACTTGGGAGAACTATTAAAAGTTTTAATTTGAATATTAGGTAGAAACACCGATGATATTATGATACAAATGATCGCGGTAAATACAGAATCAACCATATGACCGAAGAAATGTGTTGGCGAACGTTAAAGGGGTCGTAATGGAAATTTTTAATGAATCAAGAAAACCATTGGAAACTTTTATCCTATACGAATCTCTTTGGTACATGCGACTTTCTGTTTCCTTATGTTTATTGTATTAAGCCACCAATTTTAACGCTATCTTAAGTTCCTTGATAACCATGTCTACATACTTACGTGCGTTACTACAAAGTCACAGGTTTCATTCGACATTGGAATTCCCTAAAGGGATTAGGTAACCCAGTTAGTAGCTTATAATCTTGAATCTTGCAAACCAGCCATTTATTTACAATTTCACGTTTAATTGGCATTCCTTAAAGGGACAATACCACTCTTGCTGGCTTGACAGCCCCAGAAAATAAAAAATAGCCTTATTCTAAGTACTAGATGTGTTAGTGTCCTACCTGTTGTGTAAATTATCCATTAAATCCTATTTTACTTGTCCAGAGGGTTCAAAAATATTTTTAAATCCAAGTCACATTTAGAAAGCTTTACGTCAGGCTTTTGAAATCATTTAGTTTAATTTTTTAAATTAGGTGGGTTAAGATCAAATTTTTATCATCAATTAATTGGAATATTGTAAAATAGTACAATTTGTTGACCAGAATAAAGATTGGGACATATTATTCAGTTACAACAAGAGTGGTATTGAGCCTTTAAACTAATTTTATCAGCACCTATTTCGTGAAATGCGGGACATTCCCTTTAACCCCATGCTTTTCCATACTCCGAACTATTTTGTTGACGGACGTTTAACTTTATTAGTGTAATCCAAGTAACACCGCACTAGTTCACTGAGTTAACCGCCATGCATAACATTATCTATTTATTACAACATGCGCTGGTACTTAAAGGTATCTTTTGCCTGGGCGGAACGTGCCGATCTGTAAAACAAATGATTTGAAAATTAACTATAGGGTGTTGTTCAAAGGTCTGATACATTCATTACTTCTGGTGTCAATTAGAGCAAAATAATAGTTTCCCCGTTACTGCCTTCATTGAATCCCAACACACTCCGGTCAAAATCATTTCGACGATATGGTATTCTAGAATTAGATTTTCAATCAAATTTAAAACATATCTCACTCTCAGACCACTATTCGCCGGCACATAATTAGTAGGGAAGTTAAAAATACCTTTGGGATATTATAAAAGTACGATTGTCAACCAAATCTCAGCTAGTTAATTAATGTTGGTTTCGCTTTGCTGTGTGCACTTGTATTTCACAAAAGCACTACCACTGAAATAAATTATAAATAAAATATTCGTATGTGTATTATAAATTCGTTCCAATATACCTTTTACTAGTTCTCTCTCAAGAATAAATTATATTTAAACGATTTTCTGTGTTTAATAAAGATAAAGTAATATTTTACATTATTTTATAATGACTGTGACAATGGCCCTTTAAATGCAGTCCACCAGCCGGGTTGGTTAATAACTATTCTCACACACCAATTTAGTTCACCGAATCACGGACAGTTTGAGAAACTGACAGTAAACTATAACAGATAGACAGTTGCTGTGTATCCCTTTTCGTAGTTTAATAATCCGATATATTGTAAAATCCCAGAATATACACATACATCCAAACTACTTGTGGTGTATTCTTAGCTAATGAATAGCAGTATTTTGAAGGTGAGATTATCTCTGTTTATTTAGCTTAAAGAACTTGCTTACATGGTTTGTCTAACGCATTGAAACGAATAAATCCTATTGATTTTCAACCCTTTCAATTATCATTTCAATAGTTATGCCCCATTGGATAAAGCTATTTCGACAATGATCCGTAAACCGAAAATACTCGAAATGATGTCCGATATTTTGTAAAAATACACAAAAAATGGATACTTTTGGGAAAATTCGATTTCTACGTCGGATATTGCCGGATCAAAATAATTAATGTACGCCGAAAATCAAGTATTTTCCACTTTGGGGTCTTTTTAAACGCCTTTATCTCGAATACTTAACGATTCTTTTTAAAACTTTCTATATCCCGGGTCCTTTCGGTAGTCATGTGTACAAAGAAGTCCAATTCGACTTTGAAATAACTGGAATAGGACAGAAAATCGAAAAGGTCCAAAAATCGTTAAATTTTGGAAAATGCTCTGTCAGATGTTCAAACCAGCGGCTGCCAGGCACGATACGCCCACATTTTCGACAGATGGAAAGAAAGTGATTTTTCCTGCAATCAAGGGCCATACATCAGGAAATTACAATTCGATATGCGCGAATATTGAAAGGAACCGAGATCTTTGGGTTATAATCTTACATCAAAATCGGACCTCTATAGGGTCCGCAACCTTGATATACCATATTTTTATGCTATTTGAGAACGAAGGGCGGCCATTTTGTCTGTCAGTTTTGGGCTGATTTTCACGAAATTCGAACTCAGTCGGCCTTAGGGTGTAACGGTGATATAATAATACAGTTTTTAAAATCGTATAAAAATTATGACCTCTATAGGGTCCACAAGCTAAAAACGCGATTTTTTTTACAATCAGGGGCCATAATTCAGGAAGTTACGTTCCAATATGTGCGAATATCGAAAGGAACCGAGATCTTTGGATTATAAGCATACATTCCAAGTTTAAACCAAATCGGATAAAAATTGTGACCTCTACGGTGTTCACAAGCTAAAAACGTGATTTTTCGTACAATCAGGGGCCGTAATCCTTGAAGTTACAATCCGACACATGCCAATATCGAAAGAACCGAGATCTTAGAGTGATCAACCTATATTTCAAGTTTCATTGAAATCGGATAAAAATTGTGACCTGTAGACTGTTCACAAACAATTGTGAACGTCCGGACGGACGGACAGGGGCGACGACAATATACGTCCACATGAAAATGTGGGCGTATGAAAAGGTTTTTATATCCAGATAGCTTATGTAATGGCGATTCTAATGATGTAAAATATGTATTGAGTTATTGAAGTTTAATTTTCAATATTTTGACATTTTTGCCCTTTTGAACATCGGATTTTCATGGTTATTTCATCTAGTATTGTCCTTTTTGGAGCCTATTCAGACGCTTTTATCTCGAAAATTCTTCTTATTTCATTTCTTAATCTTCTGTCACTCAGAGTCATATCGGTGGTCTAGGGCGTGAATTCAAATTTGAACGCCTCAATATGATATAAAGCGTCCAAAAAGGGCTTAAATCTTTGAAAAAAGTCGAAAAATCGTTAAATTACTGAAAATTTTCTTTCTGTTTTAAACTACTCAATGGATGGCTCTGAAACTTCTGGTACAGGACGTTATTTATCCAGACCACTTATTAAATCTATCCCGGTTATGATATGTAAACCGAAAGTAGTCGAAAAAATATCCGATATTTTGAAAAAAAAAACCAACAAAAAAACACGCACGCACGCTGTATCATACGGTCTGCCATTGAGTCAACCGGTGGGGTTTCAATAATCTGCTTGTACGTGAAAAGGAGTAGGGTTGCCTGTCCAACCTCGTGGGTTTTCTCCGGGTCCTCCCACTGCTAAAAACCCCTACGCGCAAGCGAATTATTGAAATAAAATTGAACCATGTGTTAGTCCCGAAATGACCTAGTTTGGGTCGAGTGAACGTTAAACTCCATCTCTCTCTCTCTCGTTACGTGGCTTAGGGGATAAAGCTATTTTGAACGCTCTGCGACAATGCGAAATGTCCGAAATCACCGAAGCTAAAATCAATATTTTTTCAACTGAGTATTATTTGCAGAGTGACTTTCTACAAGACACTTTTTAAGCCCTCTGGTCCATAAAAGTGTCAATTATTGATGTGGCGATCCAGGGCAAGTGGGGTCAATCTTGTTTGGTCTGAGCTTGGGCCGGCACATGTTGATCTTCGCTGTCAGTACCTATACTAAAGGCGAAAAATGGTACCCTGGAAAACATTCAGCAGCCTGGCTACATCTGTCTGCTAGACGCCTGCATGTAACCAACCGACAGCATAGTTGCGCTGATCTTCGTTCAGATGAGGCATCACTTGACTCGTTGAGTGTTTATATGTGCAACACATTCTGGGATTTTAAAGGCCTCAGATTTGGGTTTCATGCGAAAAACTTGCGAAATTGTTAAACTCATTTGTCTTGGTGCAATCAAGCGAAAACAAATTTCGGCAAAATGTATGGCCAGTCACAATTAGTGATCCTACATTTAAAACCAATAATGAATTAATAAAAGTTTTGGAAACAACGATCTCGTTCAAATAAAAATTGATGAAAAATGGGCTGTGCGGTTTCTTTTGTTATATCTGTGGACATCAAATAATAATATTCATTAATTGTGATTTAATATTTCATTCATAAACACCAGTACATCGGACGCCATTTACATAAATGTTATCATTTGATGGCTACAGAGATAACAACATAACGCAAATTTCAAACGCATAATTCTCAATACTTAAATATATCAGATTCGTCGGTTCGCCAGAAACGCGACGAAAATGTGAATGCCAACAAAGTAGGAATACAATTTGAAAAGTTTAGGTAAATAACCTGGTGCCATACCATATGGACCCCATTTCCTAAATTTTCACTGTTAAACTAGATTTAAGATGTGGTGAAACCTTTTTGTAGCACTTGTTATTATTCTGCTGAATCGTTTCCCGAAAGGATACATGAAAACAATGAAAAGGCTGCCAAAATTTATGACAAATTGAGAAAGGGGTGTCTGTTAATATTCATTGTACGCCATGAAACCCTCTAACATACAGAAAGAAGAATGAAATGAAATGGGGTTGTCGTCCTACTGTTCTACACCGACTGAGTGGACAAGAACTAGAATTACAGCGTTCCTAAGAATAATTCTATTATTCATCACGCTCAAATAATATATCCTTGCAGCCCCTTTCCCGAAGACAAATGGAAACAAAATCCCTGCACACATCAATCTAATTTCAAATAACAATTTAATACCAATTTAATTGAATATATTTCAGAAAAAGAAAAAATCAATATTTTCGAAATGCATTTGGATGAATTGATAGAAGAGATAGGGTCATTTGGGAAATTCCAGATATTAATGATGTTCATGGTGATGTCACCAAAGTTAGCTATTGGATATAATATGATGTTAATGTCATATGGTGCCTACGTCACTGATTGGTGGTGTGTAGATGACGTCAATTCTAATTTTAGCAGGAATAATATGACGTATAAATATTGTTCTGCTGGTAATTCAACATGTTCAAGAGTTTATGATGGCTATACAAGGACTGTGGCGACCGAGGTCAGTTCCTTATTAATTGTTTACAGACGTATTTTGTAACGACGTCATTCTAGCTAGGATTCCCTCGGCGAAGTCCTAATATGCACAACATAGTATTTAGTTCGCTACCACGGTTAGAATTTGGGTTGTGGAGATTGAAATGTCTACTCGAACGTCCGGAGGGGCTTTTGCAAGACACCGTTCACACGTATTGCCTTGAAAGCTGACAATAAAAGTGTAGATGTGATTCACGTTAAAGAGTACTTGGAGGGACACATTCAGTGAAAAACCACTACATACTCTCACATGGTATATAACGTGGTGGTTTCAAATTAATCTGGATAAAATGTCAACCAGAAACTAACACTGCTATCACCCTGGTTGACTGCTGAAATACGTGCAATGTCTTGATCTGTGTTTCACCTGCTCTTTGAACTTCACTGTAAATTGCACTTGACACCACATTGCGGGTCACAGTTCCGTTAGTCTTTGTCACGTTATGAATAATAAATAAAAATTCGCATTTATCTACATTTTCTACAGTTCTATAATGCATTACGAATATGCGACACTATTGCTTTCTATCATCAAGTTCAGATGACAAGACTAGTTTAACATCTTGTAATACTTTTATTCTTCTTCTAATATATTATGTACAAAACTCAAGACTCCGTAATTAGCTTGTGTTGGGTGAGCCATGTCCTAGCTCGGCTAGGCACGAGTGTGCCAACTCCCAACTAACTTACATTACATGGCCGTTGTCCGGTCTTAACTCCAGACATGCGTGGCCTGTCCTCGCCGGACTTCTCCCTCGATTCGTTTGTCCTCTGGGCTTATAAACCCTTCCAGACAAAGGAGTCTTATTAGACATCTGGCTGATGTATTACGTATAGAGCGGTAGCCCAGGGGGTTAACCTAGCTGAAAAGTGTACCAATTTTCTCCTATATGGTATCAATGTACGTATATCTGGTATCATCAGAATGTAAGTCTGCCGGGTTTCTGGTGGTGGGTGTGGTATTCCACAAATAGTCTAGATTAGCTCAAAAGTGTACCACATGAAAATCGCACAGCAATGTACCCTACATCTTTAGGTATTACAAAAACACTCTGACGGACATTTCTAGTGGTGGGGTACCCCTGACAGAGCTATGTAATTGCCAGACATTTGTAGTGATGGAGTATCCCTGACAAGAGTTATCTAATTTCAAGACCAAAGCTAGGCTAGATTAGCTCAAATCTGTACCACCTAAAACAGCTTTGGAGTTGTTCAGTACCAAGAGAGGAATCATGAATGACCACTGCCAGACAGTTTGTGCGGTGGGTTACCCCTAATAGACACGCCCAAAATGCCCCACCCTCCAACTAGGATAGATTAGCCGGCACTGTTCCCGTGGTCCAAAAATTTAAAAATTGTGCCAGGATGCGTAGATTACTAATACCTAGCACATATTGAAGAGGCGATAAACTAAGTTGAAAAATAACGATTGAACTATTCACTTGCGACATTTAGTTTACATTATTTTAAGATTGTAAGGTGTGCATTTACTTTTTTTTTACTAATTGGAGTATCTAGTTTGCTTTAATACTTACTTAACGTACTTAATATTTTCATTTTACTAACTTAAATTAAACTTCAGTTCCATGAACAGTGAATGGGACAATAATTGGCAATCCATTCACGAACTTTTCTACTACAATCTAAAACGTTTTAATTTTGTTTATACTTTCATTTCCCTTTAAAGTTGCAATTTCATATTTTTAAGTTATATTTTTAAAATGTATTAAAATAAAGCCTTAAAATAGATGGTATCTATAAACAGTCCTACCTTGTTAAAGAATAATCCTATTAATCCTATAATTCACTATTTCCAGTTGAGAAATTGGCAAAAATATCATTTTCATCTTCAAATTCAAACGTTTGAAGATAGCTACTCCATGGTGGAGAATAGAAAACAACGGGGGTAATTGGGAGGTAATTGTGTTATTATTTCCGGTGTAAATGAGTTTTAAGTGTGACAATGACACATATGATCGTATAATAGTGAGTTAACAACCTATTGAGCAAAAGACATAGAAATAATTATGTTTTGACTTTCGTAGAAAATATGAAATTGCAACTTTAATCCCCGTTCATATTCTGTGTTTCAGTGGGATTTGGTATGTGACAATGACACCTATGATCGTATAATAGTGAGTTAACAACCTATTGAGCAAAAGACATAGAAATAATTATGTTTTGACTTTCTTAGAAAATATGAAATTGCAACTTTAATCCCCTTTCATATTCTGTGTTTCAGTGGGATTTGGTATGTGAACGAAAGTGGATAACACCTATCATTACCTCTATACAGATGGCTGGGGTGTTAGTTGGTGCTATAATTGCTGGTCAATCTGCCGATACATTTGGTCGTAAAAAGACATTCTATTTTACGTTACTACTCCATTCCATATTTACAATAGCTATAATATTTGTCTCGTCATGGCAGGCGTTTACTGTCATGCGCTGTCTGATTGGAATAACTATCGGGTCTTATTTGGTGGTCAGCATGTTTCCAGTCGAATTTCTTGGATACAAATGGAGGCCTGCCTTGATAGTAATTCCATTCTGGGCGACTGGTGTGTGTATTTTAGCTCTAGTCACATGGTTATTGCACGACTGGGTATATGTTCATATAATTGCTGGAGTTTGGACGATGATATTTTTACTTGGTTGGTTGTAAGTACAAGTATATCGATTATTATTATTATTGCTTTTGGGCTTTGTGATCAGAGAAATGGGAAAAATCCATATCACTTGATAACCTAAATGCGACGCATAAAGAGAGATAGGCGTGAATTGTCTTATGAAATCCCAAAACCAATCGGGTGCCTCATTTCTTAAACCCACTGACCATTTTGTGCATTTTTTGGGAAAAGATATATTCTAATTCAGGCTAAAACGTATGCAATTTGATAATTTAACTTTTAATTAGGAAATCAAAATATCAGTGGTAGATGATCTTCCGGCCTCTATTCATTCGCATTAAAAAGAAAGCCCATCGAAAAAAATCAGTGACCTGTTTAAAAGGGTTGGAGACGAAATAAAATGAAATGGAATGTTCTGACTGGGCTAATGAAGACGGGCTTACACTGTACAGTGTTGTATGGGACTACGGCCTACTCTTATATCGAATTCCAACTGCCAATGGATCTTTCGCGAGCATGCCAAAGTGTACACGAGACCTCGGTTTTTCGTCCCATCCCAACGACTAGACATGTCTTCGTCAGGCCCTCCGTCCTGCACCACAGACAAGAGGATACCACGCGGGGAAATCCCGATGAACTATATCGGACAACACCGGAAGCGAAACCGCGACCTCCAAGCTACAAGCGAGGCAGCGTCTTACTCACTTAGTCACGGACGGTTCCCCGGTTGCGGACGAAACGCCTTAAAACAAAACCGGAATAACAGGACGTGGTCTTAAATACATCACCCTGAGTAAAATTCTTCACACAGAGAACTATCTACTTTGAAAATAGATAACCTGGATGGCTGCCATATTGAACATATAGCGTACTGATCAATGTGGTTTTAATCCGTTTCATACACAAAAAGGCTAAATAAACGTTTTCAATTTTATTACATACTAAAATGGAAGCGGGATACATACGTCTCAAACTTCTGGAAGTATACGTAGTGTTTTCGACTGAAATCGTAGAAATGGGAATTAAAATGTCGGTCAACTAACTTTGTGTCTCTTCTCGAACGGATCTAATTGTAGATAGATAAGTTCCGTATGTGAGTTTAAATTTTAGAGTTTGGTTATGTCATTGGACATTGAGTTTGTTTTAACAAACTTCTTTAAATGTTTATTTTAGTATTGTACCAGAAAGTTTAAGGTGGTTGGCAGTTACTGGGCGGGTTGAACAGGCCGAACATATTATAGAACGAGTAGCCATGATGAACGGCAGAACCAAGCCAGCTAAAACTAGAGAAATGATTTTGAAACTAAGCGAGGAAGAGGAAGAGCGGACGAAACGAGGACAAAAATATTCTTATATTAATTTGTACAAAGGATGGAAACTTGCTAGACATACGATAACACTACAGATCGTTTGGTACGTCCCAAAATTTAGACCATAAAATATATTCTTGCAAAATTGTGGATTTTATGATCATGCGCATTGAGGAATACCTTTAAAGTCCTGCATTATGATTTTAGATAATTAGACAACAAGGTAAAGCTCCAACTGACCAGAATGAAGGTTAAATATAGAATGTAAAGCATACGGCATTATATACAATCAAACATCTTTTAAATCGATCTAAAGTTTTGACCGTTCAATTCTATTGATTTAACACTGGTATCATGGCCCAATAATATTATTAATCATTCACATAATATATATGAATGTGTAATTATTTATGGCGGTTATTGTTATTTGGATTATTACACAAACAGTTCGTAGTTTTGACTTGGGATATATATTATGCGGATGGTCCAACTTATTCGGTCCTTAAATACAGACCCAGTATTGTCAGTGTAGCTTCTATTACCATGGTCTATCACAGGTACTTGCCAACGGACATTCAGAGAACTTCTCTTTCAATTTCAGGTGGTCTTTATCGGCTTCTTATTATGGCATTGCTTTTGGTGTGGATAAATTTTCTGGGAATTTTTATTTGAATCTGTTTCTGATGAATGTGCTAGAATTTCCATTCGTTGTACCTGTTTTATGTGCTTTAAATAGGTGAGTGGCTTGCAATTACTGTCTACCAAGCTGCCCCACCACCTTTCAAGTCATTTTGTATTGTAGTATTGTATTGTAGTCGTAGTCGTCACCTAGAAATGGGTGACAGCTAGACTTGGACAAATACGGTATTATTTGCAGATTAAACTCGGACTAATAAGGTACCTTGCAGATTAAACTAGGTCAATGGCGTCATAGTCTAGTAATCCAAATATGGTCTCTTATGCTAGAAAACTGGAAATCCTTCATTCTCCCCTCAGGTTCCTATAAGGCCACAGGCCAAAAGATCATCATGCGGCGTTCTTAGAGATAGGCGTACCATTTGCCGAAGAGGTTGAGGCAATCATGTAGGTCCGTAGAAGTCAATTGGAATTCGAAAACATATAGCCTTGTTAATGAAACGTCGTATCTAAGGCTAAGATACTTGGTCTCAAAAATGTCCCAATTAATTTTATATCAGAATAATTTGGTTGTAGATTAGGTCGACGAAGCGTAGCAGCAGCAATGTTCGCAGGAGGTTCATTGAGTTGCGTGGGAGTGATCATTGTCCAAAATACAGGTAAAATGGTCTTAAAAAAAATGTTTTGCTTGATTGGTCAATATTTGCAATCGTGTTCTTGTTCAATCGAATAATGTTTCAGGTACAAATAAAACTTTAAACAGTCGGTGTTAGTTCAAAAATTATAAATCCCACTAAGCAAAATTTAAAATCCAACCTAGTTCTAAAATGTTTTTTTCTTCTATGAACTTATGTGTTGGGCCACATTATTAAGATTTAAATGGACGTTGTCAAATTAGGTGAGTTATTTTGGTATTGAAAATGAGAATACGCAAATTACCCAAAGTCTACAGCCTACAATTATTTATATTGATGATCACCTGGTTTACAGGGCTGGAGCACTGTCAGCAAATCAGTTTTTGTCTCTCTGCACGTCAGCGAACCGAGTTAATGGATCTTACCGGGAATCTGTTTAACGCATTCTAAAGTATATGACATTGTCCTGTGAGTTTCAAAAATTATTCATGGATATTAGGTTTACAATTCTAGAGTTCGTTACAGTGGTTCGTTTGCCTCAGCCAACACGTTCTCCGATTATAAAACCCGTCTATTTTGTATAATATCCTTCAGCATCTATTGATCACCAATCATTATAGAAAAATAGTCGTCTATATTTTATAATATCCTTTAGTGATAATGATCACAAAGGGTTATAAAATGTCGTCTATTTTGAATAATATCCTTCGGCATCTAACGTTCTTATAGGAGTATTAATCTTTTATAATATCCTAAAGGGTCGTCTGTTATGTTTCAGTATCTGGTGATCACAAAGGAACTGTGATTACAGTTTTAGCATTGATGATAAAAATTTTTGCAGGCGAAGCGTGGGCCTCGATAATTGCCATAACAAATGAAAGTTATCCTACAGTTATAAGGTAGTATCTTCAAGAGCATTCCAACACAATTTATACGAGAAATTATGACCGTTAATTGTTGATCGAAAATACAAACTGAAAAGTGAAATAAGAATAAATGCTAGTGTGTTTTTTTGTTGTTATGTTTCTCTACTGACCTGCGTTTGGTCTGGTATTAGGTCTAACGCATGTGCTATTGACCATAAAGCTTATTATTTAATCAAGGCATGGTTCGATCATTGGGTTCTAAGACATTTAATGTATAGCCCCGTCTGTGCTGGTGGACATCATTTTGAAGAGTGTTGCCATTACATAATTATGGTCCCAACTGTCAGGTGTCCGTAGACGAACTTTTGGTTTACTTGAGCAGCAATTTCAAGATATTAGTATTTTATTGAATGGTTGGACTCGCTAATACCACTTCAAATTTGAGTAGCTCTCATTGTGTGTGTGTGTGGTGGTGGTGAAGTGGGGCTGTATATATGTATAAATGTTAAGTTTATATTTTAGTCTCAAATAATATTTATATTTTGCATGTATATAATATGCTCTTGTTGTATTTATGTACTGTGTAAGGATGTTCAGGAATCAGGTTCGGAATAATCATTTGGTTGACAATGGCATTTAGATTGTCGCAGAATACTTCATTTGGTAGATCACGACTTTATCTCAATCCAGCATTTTCTCTCCTGTTACAACCGTATTTTTGCTTTTAGAAATTTAGGTTATGGAGCTGCGAGTACTGCAGCCCGTGTTGGGGGAATTGTTGCACCGTTTGTGTTTGCTTCGGTAAGTTTAGGGGCAGCATCTTCAATAGAAGGTTTGATCTCGCGTTAACCCCGTACATCTTATCAAGGCCTCCACGTATAGCCTACATATTTCGGCACTAATTTCGATGGGCTACTCACTCAGCTTAAGAGCCTATCAGATTCCTCGACCATCGTAAATACCAAGTTTCACGCCTTCCAGGTAAAATGACCTGTGATAATCGAGTTGCAATTTTAGTTCAGTGTCAAGATTTCCTTGGAGGTCGCTATATTTGATTTGAGTGTGTTAGTGTCACAACTTCTGATTGGAAACCACTGTTCACGTGTTTTCTGTAAAATGAATTGCAAAGTAATCTAGCAACGTCCAGATGTTGTAAAACTCACAGTCGTTGCTTTAGGAACATGTTGGAGTACCTGATATAGTCATTGATAAATGACGGTTGTTTTCGATTAGAAACGATTAATAAAAGAAATGAAATGAAATAGGGTTTAATGTCCTACAGTTCTGCTCCGAACTGGGCTAATGAAGACGGGTACACGCCATAGAGTGTGCTATGAGGAAAATTTTGCCCGAACAGCGGCACTACGACCTATTCTTATATCGAATTCCAACTGTCAAGGGATCTTTTACATGCACGCCAATGTGTACACGGGACCTCGGCTTTTCGTGCCATCCGAACGACTAGACAGCTGTCCTTGTCAGGCCCTCCGCCCTGCATCACTGACCAGGGGGGACCACGCCGGAAAATCTGGATGAACTTTCTCGGCCAATGCAGGGATCGAACACCCGACCTCCAGGGTCTTACCCACTTATTCACGTGATCTCCCGATTAATAAAAGAACTATGTATTTGGTCCGTAATATATCAGACTTATAAGACTGAACAGTTGGAATTCGATATAAGAGTAGGCGATAGTGCCGCTGCCCGGGCAAAATTTCCCTCGTAGCACACTGTATGGCTTATGCCCGTCTTCATTAGCCCAGTATAGGAGCAGAACAGTAGGACGTTAAACCCCATTTCATTTCATTTCATTTCATTTCTGTATATTGTAATTATCACACTGGCATTATATGGTGTTTATATACTATAAGTATATATTTCAGAATGATAAGAGATTATAAGGTGCTTTATATACCATTTTTTTATACATTTCAGACTGATAACGAGATGATACCGTTTATTATAGTTATTATTCTCCTGGCAATAAGTGGTGTCCTGACCAGGTTTTATCTACCAGAAACCTTGGGATTAGCGCTAGAAGACATTCTGCCTGGTTATGACGACAAAGGGGAGAAACTCCTAGATGAAATCCCCAATGATCCCAAGGTTTCAGATACATTCAAACTGAACGAATCATCAATCGATATGCAGTGATTTATACCTATGGAAGTATTGGTATATAATTAATTATAAACGGGCGAACTTTTGTATGCTTTTGTATAAATATAAAATTTAAATAAATATAATTATATGGGATTTTTCCTATACTTAAATATAATATTTAGGTGGAGTTTATTTTACGATAATTTAAAGGAAGAAAACTTTCTTATATTCATCTTTGTTTTCAATTTCTTTTAATTTTATGTATTTTGTATGCATTCCCGAATGGCGATATCATTTTCTGTTAACCAGGAAATAATTGTTTATTTATGCTAAATGAGTTATTGTTAGACTTTTAGCCGGCTACAACCATAAATCTGGCTCGCCGAGGTGCTCTCTTTTAAGGTCGAAATGGGTGACTCGCGGCTTCTGCAGCCAAACAGCGTCATCGTCTATCCTCGCAAGAAGCTATATCCAACCGAGCGCTGGTGCAGGTCATGTAGCGAAATTTCACGCTAGAAATTCTGACTGCAGGCCTAAATGTTTTTCACGGTTTATTAGTTGCACGATAAATTGTACTCGAATAGATTATTTAACATCAAATTACTAAAAAAAATTGTCCCGGCATGGATTAAAACGAGAGTATAAATGGCTCTGGGTTGTTTTGAACGTGTTCCATTTATATCTTCTGTAGAGGATGTTGAATATTGGTTTACTTTCAATACATCACATCAGCGTACATACTGAACGCAATTGTGCCAATTTTGGACCGATATTCCACTTAGACTGTTAGAGACCCAATTGTCTAAAAATTATAGTTCGTAAATGATTAAAAAAAAAAACAACCCAAACCCCAAAAACCTAAAATGATGATTATTGCGGTTGAGGTTTAATTACGGTTTTGTTTTATAGGCCGGTTTTTTTTTTTTGGTACTTTTGGCTAAATACAATGGTATTATTTAAACCAAGCTTCCTACTTAATACGTATCTAAGATGTCACAGTAAGTCTATTTAGACTTAGAGGATAATGGAATGTCACCGTTTATGAGAACAAGTACTGTTTGTAGCCAGTAAAAAGTTGTGAAATAAACAATCACCACATGGAGTGGCGGTGCATCTTGTCTTGGTCAAATTACGAGAAACGTTTAGAAATATTGACTGCGAAATATACCAAAAAGTAGATATGCAAAGTTTTATACTCCTAGTTGTATGTTTGATTAGTTGTATTATTATCACCAACAGCTGGTCTTCTGTTACAGTTTATAGTTTGGTTATCAATATATCATACCTGTAAACCGGCATAATGAGGTACATTCCAACAATATCCGACGTATTTGAATTTGTACCATGACTTCATGCAAACGGATGGGTGGGGCTGTGTCGTTTATTTTTTTTCAATACTTTTATGTATGCTTGAAATTTTGACCATGTATTAAAAAGGACACTATATGCATTTATTGAGCAATAGCATTAACTAATTTAATCCATTTAATAGTTCGATAATCAATTATGGAAGCACATTTAGAAGGATTAGTCGTCAGATTGCGTTTATGGTTCTGAAGAAGTCAAGGAAATGAACTTTAAATTCGTGTATACGTTGAAGATTGAAAAAACAACGTTTATTTAAATAATATTTATTTACAAAATTGATAATAATTATGATACCGGTCATTATATTTACATATCTTTCTACAATTATAGTTCTTGTCACCGAATACTTAACATGGGTTTTAGTTGCGCGGAGTAAAAATGTCAGGAAACAATATACTGTGACAATATTCAGTGAATTACAGTTCAGAATTTAGAAGACAAATGATATTCTAAATACAAGTAAAGTAATAGGACAACAATGTCAACAGTTTTCCGGTATTGCGTTTCAGCGAAGTAAGCAATTTGATTGGTCAAAACCTATAGAACAGTTTTCCCCATCCATTTTTGTATTAAAGACTAACATGACTTTCAGATGGCCGCCATATTATAAAAGTATTGCTTTTTGTAATTCTTGGAAACCAAGACTAGATGCTACATATGGGGAGTACTTTAAACATTTTCGGTTACATATGGTGTTTTTGATTACCAAAACAACCAAATGTAGAATAATATGTTGTCAATTTTCGGTATCCGGATATGATTTGTGGTGCACTTCAGAATGACGACTATTTTGAATAGAAGAATCCACACCAGCAGGTGGATTTACAGATTTTGTATCTGGTTTCTGATTTGATATTCTGCAGAAAACTAACAGAATGGATTCTGGTTCGCGGCAATCGTACACAGTTTTGTCATTGTCTTTTCCGGATATGTGCAAGGAAACATAATTAATAGTGGGTGGTGCTTATTGAATACGTGATATACATATTTATAAATTATGTACATCAGTTCCAGGGTGATATTTTCAATAATAATTATTAAACACATTTTACCTCATATTTAATATCGCTTATATCCCCATGTGATAATTTATTATACTAAAGATTTTCAAATATATATAACAGAATGCCACGTTTATGAAGATGACAGCCATTCTGGATTTCGCCAATTAAAGAATTAGCCGAGTCAACTATTTCAGTAGAACGGTTTGCCAGACTCATAGTGATCAGCTGAAATACAAATAAATACATTTAGTGTCACAAAGTCATCCAATTAACATTATGATGTCATATGTCGAAATACATTCTTATCTAGTCTATTTTTGAATAGTTATATCGAAAGCATGAAGTGATGTTAGGTAGATATCCTTTACAATTTAATACACTGTTTATCTATTGTCAAATGAATCATAACCACGCATCCAACCCATCAAGGTGTCTTTGTCTTTGGCTTCTTAAGAACGTGTGACCTTTTTTTGGTTTAGCTGTTTTGGAATGATATGTCTGGAATATCTCCCGCGTTGGAGGAGGGGAAGATACATTTAACGTAGCACGAAATTGCTGTGTTCCGAGACCGGTGTAAAGAACTATAAGTCATCGAGCGATTTCCTGAGTCACAAGAAAGGTGCTAAATTGGATTAAATGTGCCTGGACAGGGACTAATTGCTGTCATTTACCGTACGATACTTGATCCAACCAACGTACTTAACCTTTAAAATTTGGAACTCGCAAACCGCACTGGGTCCCAGACAATTATGGTTAAAACTTACTTTTACGCCAGAAATCTTCGTTGTAGTCTATAGATTGTACAACTCTGGAAAAAACAAACAAAAACATAAAGTACGGATGCATTATGTAAGATTTACATAAATAGTTTGCTGTTCTTGCTATAAAGGTTTAAAATAGCCAATGAAGAATGAAGATATTGAAAATTTCATCCAAATCACTTTATTCTTGGCGAAGTTATGACTTTTGAATATGTAGTGTAGATCGTTTATTAGCGTAGCAACTTGACAATCGAGAGAAAGCCGGGATTGTCCATTTTATCGCATGTGAATAAATATCTAAATAATAATTTATATATGATCTGAAGCCAGAAAAAAGACATGGAATAGGCAGACTGAGCTATTACATAATGTTCCTTTCAATATATATTCGGGCATCTTGGTACACAACAAATTCATTTGAGGTTTATTACAACTCATTTCTTTCAGTGGTGTATACAGAGCATTCAATATGGGTGTAGAGTGGGGTGCAAACCTAGGACGATCATTAAAGCGTATTGGTTAAACCTATTAATTCATACAGGCCGTTAAATTCGAAGGGTGTGTGCTTTTCTTACAACAAAGTCCTTGTTTCTCGATGTTATGTGTTAATGTACATGAATAGAGGGTGTCAATTCCAAGGAGAATACTTATACTTACTGAGGTCGAACCTTTCGTGGTCTGAAAAAAACAAATTGCAGAATTAGTTATCCAGGAACAGCTTGATGCATCGAGCAACAGAATTCAGACGGTGGAAATTATAGAACAGAAGACTATTTAAGTGCTACGGAAAGGGTGGTGTATTTGTCATGGATATAATATATTATGTTAAAATCACTGTCACCCCCATTAAATGCATGACATGGTATGTCTGGCGGTATGTGGACCGATATGATTACTCTGGATTGTATAGTCCGGTTTACGTTTCAGGGCCCCAATCCCGCAAGGTGACTCGGGGGCGGCTTTAATCCACATCATTGCGTAGAAGAGGGGTTTAGGGGTGAATAACTATTATACTCTGACTGAGTATTCTGACAATAACGCGGGTACAACTAGGACTTAGAATTAAGTTCCTGTTAGACAAGTTTAGGGTTTTGTATACTTTTTTTTTCTTCGGTTTTGAAACAACCGCACTGAAGAGAACAACAGTGGTTATTCAAACCTGGAAAGGTCTGAGTCAAAATAACGTCTAGTTGCCCAGGTGTGATAAAAATCAGAGGTCCATTCGTGTACTCATTGTTGTGTACATGGCAGTTGGAATGCGACGAAGAGTAGAAAGAAACGCTGTTGTCCGTGCACAATTACCGTAGCATTACTTACCTACAGCAGTCACAGTCACAATCACAGCCTCGACATCTGTCAACAAAGCCACTACAAGCTCCTGGTTCACAACAACCTGTGCAACACTGACCACAAAAATTACGAAACACGGTGAATATAGGTGGACCACCACAACATGCCCCAGTCAGACAGTACCTGCAAGAAGACAAAATTCATTGCATTTCTGTCAGATTAAAGATACATTATGTAAGATTTAGATAAAGAACTAGCCATTCTTGCTATAATAGTTCGAAAGTAGATGATGTAAAATGAATAATTTGAGAATTTCATTCAAATTACTCTATTGGAAGCGAAGATATTAGCCTTTGGAGGTTTGACAGACGTGCGCAATAATTTCAACCACCGTACTGGTTGATCGAAGCTAAGTCTCGGTCCTCCATATTTGATTAAATCAAAGTATCGCTGAACCATTCTAATCTATTTAATATCGGAGAAATCTGATGCCATCGAGAGTTGATTAGGGCCTGGATCATTTAATTAATGCCTAATTAATACTTTAGAAAACATTTCAGGCCTAAAGAAAGACCTGCAATATGCAGATTTAGCTCTTGCATAATGCATGTTTAATTAGATCACACGTTTTAACCGAGATTTATTTAAAGCTGATAACCGGGATAATACAACCAAAGTCTGATGGTCATTATCGCTCAATAAATAAAATGGTAGAGCATCTGGTACCATGTCGCTTTTGAAGGGCTCACATAGCTAACAAACAAAATCACTATAGTTTTGCATAATTTTCAGCACCCCCGATTTAACTCTATTATTCAGTTGTTTTCACCAACCTAAAATAGAACCACCTTTATATAGTATGTCAAATAAAATGAAGCAAATCAACCAGACTTCCCTACGACATATTTTCAGTAAGGCCATGCCTTTAACGAGTTTAGCAGTTTCCATGAGCTGGTATCATAATTATGAAAATGTGCATTTGAACCAGATGTGCAGATACCATTGTTGTGGATGTACCTCAAACAGAATAACAGAGCAGCAAGTAAAGCCAGGGCCAAAAGCGTCATCAATATAGCGAACATAGCTACGTTCTCGGGTCGCGCCCAAAAGTCAAATGGTGTGGTTGTAGGTGGAGCTGTAGTCGTGGTGGTTGTGGTGGTTGTTGTCATGGTGGTGGTAGTCATGGTTGTAGTCGATGTCGTTGTCGTTGTTCCAAATGTTAATGCTATGGTTCCTGTAGCACTGCGTCTTGGAGACCCTGAAGTACAATAGTATGAGAAAAGCTGCGTTTACACGGCACTGATGTTTTACACAGAAAATAAATATCTAAGCTGGCCCTTTTGTCCATGTATTTCTAATAAAACACTGGTATAGAGAGCTTTTCAAGAAACCATATTTTATTCTAAATATATGTAACCTGTTTTTCATTTTAAATAATGTTATACATAAAGGATTTATATTTATTTTTAATTTCATTGATTTAGTTTGTCTCGTTCAGATCAAGATGCGTTTGGCGCTATATAGCCTAGTTGGAGCTGAAGTGCTATAAAACTCCATTCATTTCAATTTAATATCTATTTTAGATCACATAAACTATCGTTATTCTTCTTAATGACGATAACAAAGATACATCGGAAGTCTAGGGGAAATACAATAACTTTCCGTAGCTAGCGCCCCCCCCCCCCTCCAACACACTTGGGCGCCGAACCGCACCCTTTCCTTTGAACGCAATATGAAGCCAACGGCCCTATAAAGCCGAGTGACATTGGTTGGGCTGCCCCTTGCCACCGCCCCCCCCCCCACCGCTAGCTACGGACCTATCAAAGCGAAGGGTAAACCTGGGTTGTTTTTCAACCTGTGAATAATGAATAATGAGCGTGCTCATCATTCGTAATTCAACAATTCATTTTAAGTTTACAAAAGTAATTCATAGAAACACCAACTTTAAATCAAATAAACAATATTCTTAATTATTGGATTAGAAAATATTCGGAGATAGATTTATAGTTTCTGTCACTTTTATCTACGTGCGTTAGATGTACTGTATATCATCTACGTCATAAAATCGTAATCGCTTACATGTTAATTATATAATGAATCTACCTTACCTTTGTCTGTGGCTTTAGCTACTATAAGAGCTGTTGTTCCAGCTAATGTATCAGGGAACTGACTAAGGTAGTGTAATTGACCGTTGTTAAACAAATTAAAATGTGTAGCTGCATCTGGCGGAAAAATATTCACCAATTCAAATTCTAGATCACCATTGCTACCTGAAGTAAAAAAAAGATTGTGACCTTTCCTGCGCCAAATTACTGTTACTTCGAATGTCATATATTGTATTAAAATAAATGCTACATACAAGCAATGATATGGTATAATATAATATATCGAGGTTATATACTGTTTTTAATTGCGCTGCACTATTACACGTCGTATATATTATGAGTGTCTTGAAATTCATTTAGTCAAGGGAAAATAACTACAATCCTTGAGAGATTTTGATATTATTTCCTTTTGCATTGTGAAACATTTATCAATCAGCCACGCTTGTCATCAGGAATTTTGCCTATTAGATTATAAATAGAAGTCTAAAATATAATTAGACATGGGATTCTTGTATTCCAATAACCGATTGCTATATCAATAAACTAAATGCAGGGTTTATTTCGTTCTTCATTAAAACCAGAACTGATATAATTCACTATAGGATATTTCAATTCTACAGCGGAATTAGAAAAGATACACAGGTTCCTAGAAATCTCCAGTTCATGTTTAACATACACTTACATCGAATAGATATGGGGATAACTAATCAGTGGTTATAACAATCATTAGGAGCTGGCAATGTCCGTAACAGTGCGCAATTTCTTGTCGTGTATTGCCGTAACGTGTAACGGTGTAAATATTTAAGGCCGGAAAATATTGCTGCATGGTTAATGTTTGACTAAAACCCAGCATGAAACTGATACGAGACGACATACATTATCACATAATATATTGTCCTTTACGATTTGATATACAAGATTCGTCATTCTGTTAGCATTACAGATTTATTTGGTTTAACTTATTGTTCAACTAGCTCTGTCCGCTCTGAGAATGTTCTCAGGTGACGAATAACCAATTTTACCGAATTCTTCCAGTATACATCCATTTATTACCTTGGTCTGTGTCAGTAGCTGTAAATGCTCCTATACGGCCGATGCCCGTAGCATATTCCACTGGTATAGTTGTAATCTCCGTCGTAAATACGGGATCGTTGTCGTTTATATCTGTAACAGCTATGTTCAGCGTAGTCGTACCTGTTGCTCCGAACGGATCGGTAGCTAACACATTTAATATCACTAAAACAATAACACAGATTAAAAATATTTAAAGAAATATAATGGTCTGTCATTAAGGATTTCAATTAATTAATGTTAGAAAATATAACTTTGTTATTGTCGAATCTATTTACTATCATTTGAACCATAGATAAACAAGACAAAGCAATTCTAGCCATTTTCTTAATTTAAACAACTTGCCCCGAGGTTATAGTCGACAAGGGCTTTTCAACTTTGGGGTTATATTCTGCGTCAGCTTTCAAAACGCCAAATAGTGACGGAGGCCATGTACTACACCAACTATGCAAACCCGTTGTAGAACACACACTGCCATGTGCTTGGTAAGTTCTAAAACTAAGATTTTTGGATACGTGTGTATTCAATTGTACCGGTTGGAGAAGTAGTCCCCGAAGATAACAAGACGAAAATGTGGACGCCTTCATTCATCACATATCCAAAGTCGAATTGCTATCGCGAGACAGTATGACAATACCTCTGATCATGGCAGCAAACGTGTACAAAGGACCGCGTTATTTCGTCCCACTCAATGACTAGAGATACCTTTCTTGCCATGACAGTTCGTTAGCAATGGAGGGAACCCAATGAAGGTCCACTTGTAGGCATACGACACTAGCGCATACATCCGTGTGAACGAAGGAATCTACAATGGAATGGGTGACATACAAGATCCCTGCTAGAACAGGAACGATTGTTTACTTAGTGATAAATTTTAGTCCATAAAATTTAAAAACAAAACGCCCCTAACTCACCCGAACTAGGAAATGCAACAGATTCCAGATCGTAATCCACAGCAAATGTTATTCGTCTGTTATTATCTGTTAAAGCGAATCTGTTATTAAAATCACCAGCCAGACTGATCGTCACAGCATCATTATCTGGGTCAGTGGCAGTAAAGCGTACATCGCAAAATGACTCGCCAGCCTAGAATATGATAAGTGTGCATATAAAGTGATGATGATGATGTTGATGTTGGGGATGGGGTGAGATGGATGGGTATGGGATATTATATTTAAAAGAAATGATCATATTATTCTTGAAAAAAATATTTACATTCATAAAAGTGGTATATATATGAAACTGTTAAAACAGTAAAACATATTGTTTAAGATGTGTTACCGGAGATTCGTATAGAACACAGGTGTGTTGTGACTTGGCAAAAACTGGAGCTTCGTTTACATTCTCCACATAAATACCGATTGTTTCCCCTACAGAATCTAAAAACCCATCTGATATTACACAGCTAATATTATAAAAGTTGTTGCTTTCAAAATCGAGTGGTTGATCACTTATACTAGAGAGTCTGTAAGCATTCCCTGGAATAAATAAATACATTCATACTAGAATAATATTCCGGGATAAACTCACATCACAGTAAACAACTTTCAGAGAAAAAGAAACTACTGGCATCGCTTCATGGATTACAAATGACAATTTCAATTGTACTCGAAAGCTACAAATGGGACGACTGTATTATCAAACACTGTATTTTAACCGCGATGACTCAAAGTCGTGCAAATAAGGCCTGTTATGTTTTATATACATGTATATCGTGTTTTCTTTTCTGGGTATCGTTCTTTCTATGTTAAAATACTAGAACACTTATTATGGATACAATCACTTGGTTTATTGTACTGCAACGTTTCAACTAGATTTCACAAGTCGTTTTCAAGCAAATACCCCATGTACAAATGTGTATGAAGATATATGTATGAAGATATAGTATGGAATATTAATCCCAACTATAATAGTGCATTAAAATGAGACGAAACACCGAATGAGTCAACCATTCAAAAACAAGGAATAACGTCCGAAGAAGATTTCGTACTAAGAAAAGACAATGTAACAATGTAAGCATGTCTAAAGTTACAAAGTAAATGTAATTGGTACAAATGGCAGACATATCTTTGCCTAAATTACCGTTCAATTAAGTCGCCTGAGAGGTTTTCTTGAAACGGGCTTTGGTTTATTTTTATGTAGTTATCTCATGGTTTGACCAATATCAGTAGCATAATCAGGGCAAAACTGATCTATACTTACTGTTAGAATCGAAAGCAAACTTGAAACTTTCTTCTCTTGGATTAACTGTACATACAGGGTTTATGGGAGCAGTGAAACCATCTTCATCGGCAAAGTTAAAGTTGGTTATAAGGGTCTCTTTAACTGCATTCTCTTTTATTGTAACATTTAACGGTAGTTGAAGTATGTTAGGGCGATGATTGACAGCTGAAAAAAAGAAATGGAAAATAAAATTGTGGCACCACTGTTGATCACAAGATCTGTCCGTAATGGGAGACCGTGAGTTTCAGTGGAATATACAAGAAATATGTAATGTAAAAATATAATTCAAGAGTTTTGAATAAATAAAAACTTACAATTAACATTGACAGTGAGCTTAAATGATGTTGAGTCTTTACTATCAGTAGCATTAATATATAGAGTCATCTTGGCATAGGGTATTGATTTACCATTGACTGTAGTTGTTACTAATCCTGAAGCTAACAAAATATCATATAAGCTAGGCTTTATTATATCGACATTCTCAAATTAATGATTACAAGCATTGACAGCTCATTGGCCACGTATTGTGGTTAGTAATCGTTCTGATTAGTTATCTTCCTGTACCTGTGAGAATCGAAGGAGAGGGGTTGAATTGACATTTTATGATCCTCTACCAGGTTTCAGTGAATATGTACGACGGATAGTTACATGTGTATAGAGTATGCTACTTCAAATTTGTGAATCTCAAAATTTCAATGGTGAGCTTCATACACGATTTCGAACAAGACACGACCAGATGTTGCTCCCTATGTATTAGAGAGCGTTTATCCCAAGAAAATGTATTGAAAAGGTTGAGTGCAAAGAGATTCTCATAAACCATTGTAGAAATAGTTGGTGGTCTGTATCCTTTAATTTGGACGGTTAACAAGAGTTATGCACCTTGATTAATAGGCGGGCGCATCACAAACGATTTCAACTAAAGGGAGGGGGTAGTGGGTGGGGGATGCTGTCTACTATATCACCTCACTGGAAGAGTATTAGTGGGACGTTTGTAAATTTCTTTAGATCCATTCAGCTCATTAGTCATACACCGAGTTAATCCATGTTCAAACTAGTTACAATAATAGTTGGAAATAATATTAGCTTTTTATAAAGAAAAGGCAACAAAATGAAATTATGTACGTCTATGTAAATTGGTTACAATTCAAAATACAATATTGTTGTTTGGCTAATTTTCCAATTTTAATAAGCAAAATATTTGAATCCATACAATTCGGTTTAGAGCAGGCTGATATTTGATATTTCACAAAACAAATTTTTTTATCTCCACTTAGTTTTAACAAAAGCATTCTACATTTATGACGGACATACATTTTATGAACAAGATATTCCACGAGAGAAGCTCAAATATAGACTTGAAATATGCCTGAGCATGCCGATTAGACAAACGCTGTAAACACAGTGTACGAAGCAAATCGGCCATGATCGGATATTTATTTATCTCTTTTGAGCAATTTTAGCACTTACAATCAACAGCAAAGAACCTTTTAGCATCAGCCGGTTCTGATGTTATAGACAAGCTCACGGGGTCATTCTCCGTATCAACGGGTGTGAGCTGTACAACAGTACCCCCAGAATTCAATTCACTGTCAATTGTCATTTCCGTAGCTGAAAAGAAAAATTGATGTGCTTGAGATTTTATCATTTAAAATTTGTTATCGAAAATACTGTTTACATAAAAGAAATGGACGGAACCTCTGAAGTCTTTGGATTCTTGTTTTCTTTGTTGTCTCTTGTTTGCAAGAAGGTTTCTTTTGGTCATGAAGTAAAGACATGTGGAATCTGCATATTTTGACTTACAAAGAAATTGCATTTAATAATATATTTGGAAGGGGCAGTAATCAAGGTCAGATGCAATGCAAATCAATCGGCTTTTCGACAAGAGTAGGTGAGAAGAACTGTTACTAAAACGTTGACATTTTAACGGTAGACTGTCTGGTATGTTCCAGTTTCGACCCCCCCCCCTTCCCTTCCACTCCCACAACCTTATTTTTTCCAAAAGAACCTCTAGATTAACCATTGGCAGTTCGATGCCAAGGAAAGTGTAGCTAGTCAAGACATGAATATGAGGGTCATCCGAGAGTACCGTGTATGTCACATACTCTTGACAAAGTGAATGCCATAAAGGGTGGATGGCAAACCGACTATTCAGACAAAATTCTCCCACTTAGCATTCCTTTCCTCCATTATTGTATCACCCTTTTATGAGACAGATGTTTTTGCAGTGGTTATTCTTGGTTGTATTATAAATCTAGATCGGGGCTGGTGGGGCAAATAATCAAACCTATCATTTCATTTTAAAAGAACGCTTCATAAAATATCTTGTTATATTATTTTGAATGTTACGTACGTCCATTTATAATGGGTGGTGTATTTTTGGATACGGATATGAAAAATGGAGTACAGACAGGCGGATCTGACGTCTGCGTTGGATCATAACAACAAACCCTGGTTTGATAAACTGACTGGATCAGCGGATTAAGCGGGAAGCCATTTTTAGGATCATACACCACTGAAGATTCTGGAAAGAAAAGAGACCAGTACATATTTATTGATGCTAGACTCTGGAATTGGGTGGTGGTGGGTGGGTAAGGTTCAAGCCGCTTTGATTCCAGGGATAAATAAATAAACTTCAAGGGCTGTTTTTATGGCCTACATTGTAGGTCCGTATGCCAATAAAAGGTGAAAGCTATTTGGATTATCGTTGTTTGTTTGAAGATAGTTCTCTTATTCAAAATATGGGTTAAAATATTTACTGTTTAATACAACCGGTCAATATGATGTGATCCATGTGCATGACTGTTATCACGTGATCGTTCAATATGGCAATTCACTGCCATGTATACATTGGTAGTTTAAATTAGATATGAGTAGGCCGTAGCTCATGTCCGTCTTCATTAACCCAGTCGGGGCTGAAAACTGGGAAGTTAACTCCGATTTCATTTCATTTTCTCGTAGCGGACGTCTTATGACATGAACAGCAATTTAAACATTCAAGCTCACATTCAAGGAGGTTGGTGGTCTATAAGGTGTGTCGTATATAGGCTATATGGAAGATTTTATCAAATTGAGCATTGGATCCAAATGATAATCAACACCTCAAACACTCAATTTCTATATATCTAAGGAGGGCTATCTTGACTAAGACTAAAAAGCATTTTCTCATGATAACTTACGAGTAAGACCAAAACGACTGGTTGTTCTAACTTCAAATGGACCAATCAGAGGATCTGTATTAGGTTGGGGTACGACGTGTTGTAAGTAACATACAAATTGGTTCTCATCCTGGTTTAAACTGACATTGTCAAATGTTATTTCTGATAATATTGTCTCAACTCTGGTATCTTCTTTTATAGCAAATTGTAGTCTCTCTAATACCGTACTAAACTAAAATAGCAATGGAATAAAGTTTAACGCACCTTTAACATTATGGAAAAAGGAAGAAACTAGATAATTCGATTTCCCCTAGCGCTCGACCATTAATATAAAGATTCACACAGTAACACAACAAAAAGAAAGAGATATTTTGAGTGAATTATTATTTCATTAGACCTGTCCTCTTCAGTTCAGTAATTAAAATAAGAAATGAATAAAGTAAAGTAAACGATGTCTCTTTTTGCGACTTGAGTGAAGATAGCTGAATTAATTTTAATCAGATTGGTGTGAAGTTGCCGTAAAGTGGATATAGTAACCATTGGCTATACATATTGAAAAATTTTCTCGCCCATCTTAGATGCCCTTTGATAAATACACAAATTAAATATCTGTTTTTGTTTCAAATTGGGTTTTTTTCTGAAGCTTTATATCAAGTGGATAAATCATGTTTGGTAATTAAACATATCGTTCTTTACAAAACTTAAAGTAAAGAAAATGGAATCCCTAACAGGATACACACTTTTCACTGCTGAGAGATGTACCACAACAACCATATATCATGTGGCTTTCAACCAGATATTTACGACAAGGAAGAAAAATATGGGTAGATCCACCACCACCCCCACCCCACGCTCCCGGCTTGTCTCAACTTCGATTAACACGAATAGTAGGGTGCCTAGTCGTCACAAATTACAACTGATTGTTCACAAATACCCTACAAATGTCAACAAATGCAGGGTGGAAATATTTTACCTCTACACAAATCGTAAGACATGCGTGAATCTTCGTATTATCTTTGACACTATAACATAATTTTGTTCAGGTAAAGGATATTCGTCGGAATAGGCTGGAGACCCCAACAAACAAGCAGAAAACAACAACCATAAAGGCACAATTGTCATTACTTACTGAATTAATGTGTAAGATGTGTAGGTGAACTTGTAGAAATATGAGTAATATGTATAGTAATTTCATCATGTGATAAATATTACATTAAGTTATCATCTTTACTCGTCTATGGTTAACTTTCACATCTGTAATTAAAGAGACACTCTCAGTCCATCTATCTTTATTTGAATATTACGTGATTTGGCTATGCAGTTACAAATTTATTACATGGGAATTCGGTCCTAGTGATCAAACACTTATTATTCTAAAGGACTTATAGATATGATGTTTGAATTGCTGTAATATATACAACGAACATCAGTCAACTGGTGAATATTGCCATTAAATTTACATTTATGTTCAATCTATAAGAGAGAATGATTATTGCATTAAATATAAAAACATTTTTTTGAAAGTGGTGAGATAACTCTTTTTTAGACTAATTTAGTTTAAATATACAGCTTAAACAAGAGAGAGAGAGAGAAATGGGGTTTAACGTCCACTCGACACAAACTAGGTCATTTCGGGACTAACATATGGTTTAATTTTATTTCAATAATTCGCTTGCGCGTAGGGGTCTTTAGCAGTGGGAGGAAACCGGAGGACCCGGGGAAAACCCACGAAGTTGGACAGGCGACCCTACTCCTTGTCACATACAACCGGGGATTCGAAACCACGCCAGTCGACTCAATGACAGACTTTATGATACAGCGCGCGCACGCTAATCATTCAGCCATCCAACCCCCCCAGCTTAAACAAACACTAAAAATATTCCAATGTTCCCGATGATGGGTCTGCAATATAAACCTTAGTATACGGTCTTGTTTCTTCCCTTATATTCACGTCATAATAACAATATATTAAATACTAAAAAAAAATCATAATTAGATACCTGGAATTTACTCTGGTGACACCTTAGTTTATTAAATAAATCCACAAAAACTTTAATAAAATTTGGCTCGAAATTTCACTCTGTACGTCGAATGACACATATAAACATAGATACATATTGTTATTTATTTTCATTCAGTTTACATTCGTCTTTTATTGTTTTGTATGGTATATTCAAAGGAAATCTTTGCTATCGTGTGTAGTATTGTTAAATTGAATGGTTAGGAATAATAAACAGTCAAATCAAAGTAGTTTAGAACAGTCATCTTCGATCGCTACTGTTTTGACCCTTACAAAACATTGGTTTGTGTGGTTTGGGGTATTTTGAGTAAAGAGGTCGGAGACACGATTCATGGAACCAATGAAACGGTGTTATAAAGAACAGAATGTTTATCTCATATTGAGAGTAAGTAGTAACTCTATGAAATTTGCATGGATTGTATTGGGGATTTTACCCAGGCAGCGCCTGAACCAAACTATAATGTAATTACCCTATATATGATTAGAAATTTGAATGTTTGTATGATACAGTTATAGCTCCGGATCGCCAGGTTTTTCATCCTTGTGCAGATTAGATACATGCAGATTTCTTGTATAAGTTAATACCATTTTAAAGATCATTTGGTTTAATGTCAGATCGCATTAAATTCTTACTGCACGTTTTACGAAGATGACTGTCAATACGTCAACGACACAATAACAAAGAGCGTCAATGCATTCTTGATGAACTTTAGCTATTGCCTGGAAACATCAACATCTTGGTTAAGATATCCAACAATATAATATCAAATTACTGTTAACTTATTTCTTAATATGACGTACAGTTTTCTCTCAATATGTCAAACAGAAGACCTTTAAGCATTTTTCTTATTTCAATTGAACAAAAAGTGGAAACAGTACAAACAGTATAGTTTAGTTACCATCTTGGCCTCGCTATTTGTGGTTACAGATTGCAATTTAAGTCAGGACTGGTCGAATTTTATTATTGTAACAAACTGATTTTCGTAAGACTGTTTGTTTTATTGTATGTGGTCTAAAAGCTTATAATATTTGACTTTTCGTCTGGAATTTTGGTCTTTTAATAACATGTTCCCCTTTGTTTTCGAGCGATTTTAGTCTGAACGACTGCGAATTTTTTTCCCCATCAATACTTTTGGAATGTTCCGAAGAATCTTATTTGATTTCGATTGTTTCAACCTTTATAAAGACGGTCCTTATAAATAAAGTACATTAGGCATGGTTTCGTAATAAATGTAGGCTTAATGGGTTTCACACTGTGGTCACATACTTTAAAGTCAATCTTATTGACTTAGATCTGGTCACAGGAATATTTGTTAAGTCTTTGAAGCTGTCATGAAGATGTTGTATCAAATGTGTCAGGTTTAGTTTCGTAATAAGTAGATTTCTTGTCCAATAGTTTTCAATTGTCTCATTAGATAAGAAAACTGTGAACTGTGCAGTGTCATTTACACAATTGACGTTTGTTTGTAAATAAACACCAAGGTCTAAGCATATTTCTCGGGTGCTTTCCAAATTTGTACAGTCTTAAAGTTGTAACCTAACCCAAATGAAACGCATTACTCGGGTGGACTATAACTAACTTAACGCTTCTTTAATGCAAATAAGCTTAACATGACAATAAAAACGCCAAACACACCCTTTCATTTCTCAAAGGCCGAACCGCCCAATAATGATTAATGATACATCACATGTTACGTAATAACCAACCGTGACTTCGCGAAGGCCATTTAAGATGGCGATAGGCAAAGATTAACTTCGCTTAAATAAACATTAATGATCAACATTGATTTTAATGAACTGAAGAATGTGATCTTTAAATTCAGTGATCCGTAAATAATTAGGGTATTTCGTCAATTGTATTGACACACTTTAGAGTAACAGTGATGCACGGGCTATTTTATTGGCTAATCTAATTACCCATTTTGTTATTGATAACAAAGAAATTACTTTTTTTTATAAATTGAGTAAAATTATAGTTACTATTTCCAAATTCAGCAAATCGTATTTTTTTTAATATTGGAAAGTTCACTTTAGTTGGATGTACAAAAGCAGATTGAGCTATTTGTATTCTTCAAAGGACCCTGTAACTCCAACTGCTCAGCAAAAACATAGGGAACAGTCCAGTCGAGACAATCCCAAATGACAATGACCTTTAACAACCACATAATGAAGTAAATGTAGCGGTTAATATGAAACTTTCAGCTATGCGACCCCCCCCCCCCACACACACACACAACTAAAAATACAGTACGTATATACACGATCAGGTTTCTCAGAAAGATTAGACATACCCTGGCCCGTGCACAACATCCATCATCCAGTGTCCGTTGTTTATAACGTGCATGTCTTGAATATAAATATTGTTGTTTATCAGAAAAAATATTTTGTTTGTAGAAATAGACAAGGCTGTTATTCGGCGATAATATCTTAGCGTATTTTGAATTTTATAACTGGATCATGATTTCTAATTTAAAAATACAATATTTCTCATTCAATAATACAATCTAAACCTGATTATAACCTGATGGGAAAAGCACCATGATGTACAATAAAGGGAGGCAACTGCTTTACTCATGTTAAATGAAAGGGATAACTCGAGCTTTTTTCAAAATATTGTTAAGCTGAACGCTGTCCACCACGTACGGAGCAACACCTGGCAATGCCTTGCAATACAGATCATGCATGAGCTTAACCATGGTGTGCTTGGTAGTCCGGTATCCAAATCTGGACTTCTATAATCCAGATGTTGATATTGTGAAGCCGAGATCACGCATTATATTTATATGGTGTAGAATCTAATTTCATCGGAAAAATAAACTAAGATTCGCGTGTATATCCATAAAACACGGTTCAACACATTATTGTCATATTCAGGGTAATTAGAGCTCTCCGCTATGTAGTTAATTAGATAGTGAATAAGTAATATAGAACGTTTTTGAAGCACAGGTAGATAAAGCAATAGCCTAGCTCAGTTGCAGAGTAGGGGTGTAATTCAGATCGAGGTTTTTCATTGAACATCCACATTACAGCGATCACTATTTTCTGCACTGCCCAAATTATTCGACTCGGCGTATCTCAACATTATATACCCTCCCATTTAAATCCAAACATACAAAAAGCGTTCCTATATGGCGATCCCAACGAAAGTAACTCGTACAACAAAGCGATTTTTTGTCAAGTTCACAGGTATTTTAAACTAACCAAACGCTTTGAATAGATAGGGTAATTGGCAGGCGACAATGATTAATGTTAAATAATGATGATGATGGCGATGATGATGACGATGATGATTTATTTATTTATTTATTTACATATTTCCTTACTTACTTATTTGAAAAAATGTAAGATATATTATACCTTTAAAATTTGTACATTTTACAATGTTATTGAAATGTACAATTTACATGGAGATGAATTTATATACGCTATGGCTTGTTTTCAGATCCACAATATCAGTATTGTAAATAATCATGTTAAGATTTTTTTTATTTCTGACTCCTTTTAGATATAAGTAGTGATGGATGTCGTGTGAAAAGCAAATTTCGCTTAATAGAATTATTAATTTATTTATCTATTTATTTATTTATTTATTTATTTATTTATTTATTTATTTACATATTTACTTACTTACTTATTTGAAAAAATGTATAATATATAATTTGTACATTTTACCTAAGAGAAAGAAAGAAATTTGGTTTAACGTCCACTCGACACAAACTAGGTCATTTCGGGACTAACATATGGTTCAATTTTATTTCAATAATTCGCTTGCGAGTAGGGGTCTTTAGCAGTGGGAGGAAACCGGAGGACCCGGAGAAAACCCACGAGGTTGGACAGGCGACCCTACTCCTTGTCACGTACAAATTTATTACATGGGAATTCGGTCCTAGTGATCAAACACTTATTATTCTAAAGGACTTATAGATATGATGTTTGAATTGCTGTAATATATACAACGAACATCAGTCAACTGGTGAATATTGCCATTAAATTTACATTTATGTTCAATCTATAAGAGAGAATGATTTTGGCATTAAATAGAAAAACATTTTTTTGAAAGTGGTGAGATAACTCTTTTTTAGACTAATTTAGTTTAAAATATACAGCTTAAACAAGAGAGAGAGAGAGAAATGGGGTTTAACGTCCACTCGACACAAACTAGGTCATTTCGGGACTAACATATGGTTCAATTTTATTTCAATAATTCGCTTGCGCGTAGGGGTCTTTAGCAGTGGGAGGAAACCGGAGGACCCGGAGAAAACCCACGAGGTTGGACAGGCGACCCTACTCCTTGTCACGTACAACCGGGAAATCGAAACCACGCCAGTTGCCTCAATAACAGATCTTATGATACAGCACGCACACGCTAACCATTTAAACTATTTGAGCTGGATTCAGGCGTCTTTTCAAGATGGTAGAACAGGATATCGAGATGGTGTTTTAATTGACATGAAAGTTGCGAAAGTTAGTTGTCATTTCAATCACAAATACAAATGTACTAAAATTATTAGCAATGCGAAATTGCCAAATATAGTAATTCGTAGCGCAATGATAGTTTAATGTTCAGTACAACATAATCTGTGTTGTTGATTTCCGATAAATATAAAAATTAGTGGCCAGTAACTGTAAACATGCTACAAGCTTGACTAGTTAGCATAACAAAACCAAACAACAATACATTAATAAAAATAAAAAATCATCACAGAAAAAAAAAATCAAACGAAAACATCAATAAGCCATTCATCATTCTGTTCACATTGGTGTCAAGGGGTTAATGATCACACAGCCACACAAATACCATAACATAAACATTATGTTCTGTCAATTTGTTCTGTGCAGAAAACAGGACGAATATATTCACCATATTTTTATGGAGTGTGGGGTCCAAGTAACGAATATATCCCAACTAGCTGGTAAATTACGGCGATTGATCACTCGGGAAAATATCTTTTGTTATGAATCTGAAGGGTATTTTTATAAAACGTAGTCTACAGATACCCATAATAAAATTAGAATCTATTTTTATTTTATTTTCCGGATGCCATCAACACATTATTTTTCATATACGTGTTATTTTCTCTTTGATATTTCTGTCATAGTCAGTGTTC